ATATGACAAAGTTATAGTATGAGAATCTAAACTTGCATTAGCTTGAAATGACACTAAATGTGAACTTTTATAGTGAGAAAAGGTGAATAAGAATATTCGGATAAAGAAGCATGTAGCTTCATCTGTGTAGTTGGTACCTCCTGTCGAAAACATCAATCAATCATAAGCGTTAAATGTTAATACAATTTTATCATCCATAATTCTTAGTTTACGACTTCAGATTCGATCTGATTGGCTAGAGATGGTGGCGATGCAGTGAATTATCACATCAATCACATACTAATGACTGCCAGAAAGATCTCGTGCCGAACTCCTCTCATGGCCTCTCCTGTAGTTTGGGTTTGATTCTTTCCAACGAGGTTGATATAATCCAATGAGATTAGTAAATGAATTGGTTCGGCCACTTTAAGGGGATCAATCAAATTGCCTCGTGGTAATTTGACAAGGAGTGCGGGGCCACAAGTTTGCTTGCCACGTAGGATATTTTGAGCCTTATAGTGTAAGACGTAACAATAGTCCTTAAAGTCCATGTATGATTATTTATATAATACTTGGACTTTTGGTACCACATTTGTTTACTACATAGGATATTTGAAACCTTACAATATGAGTCGTAACTACTTATAACTTTAACTGATTGAGAATTTTATTCAAAAAAGCTACTTGAACAGGGTCACGTGTTGAACAGGGCTTACGTGGCCTGTTCAAGTAGCACGACTCAATTTAATTATCATTGTCACGACTAACTTGTCATGTTGCTCAATTATATACGCATGTAAGGAACTTATTTTGCGTTTGTGCGGTATCATTTTTTGATTCTAACTTTACAAATTTTTCATTGTAATTCTTGGAAAAAAATCACTCCCACACATTTTTATCAATATTCGTTCCTTGCTTTTCCTCAACAAATTTATTTATGTTCTAATAGTGCTATCTTTTGTTTCGGTTTCGCGTCCTTTGGCAAAATATGTTTGCTAATGTTTCTAAATAAATATATGATAGTGCTACATGTACAGAATAAAGGTCTATCTAATTATTTTTAGATCTTCGTGAAAAGTGTACGCCGTAAGTGCACGGGTTGCATTCAAGTAATAAAGTAGACTTTTTGAATTCGAATTATCGGTCCCTCGAGGAATGTATACTTTCGAGTACACAACTTTAATTAATTTAATTCTAACAATAAAAATAAACACACAATAAAGATTTGGTTTTTGAAAAATAAGAAAAAGTAACTAAAAATTTGCAAAATAAGAAAAACATAAACACTTGGAAATTTTTGAGGAAAACGTGGTTGAGATTCACGGTTTCGCTTAACTGTCACCTAATTAATTTCTCCACAAGCTAATTAAGAAATTACTCATTTAAGATGTTAGACTCGATCTTCCAATATTAGTAAATTAACTCTCTCGAGTGAAATTAACTCTAATTGATTTGTTTAACCTACTATATTTCTATATCGATTAAAATGAAACAACCGTAGTAAATCATTGAGAAAATAATTCAATGGGTCACCTAGGATTAAGAGTATATCTCTATCCTCTACATAAGCCTAAAATTTCTACTATTTAATCTAAAATGCACAATCTTCTCTCGAACGATATATAAATCACTAAATATAATCATTCATTGCCCACACAAATGAGAATGCAAGAAATACAATAGTAAATACACATGTAAATAGCATTTTAACAATAAAAGACAAATTTTAAAATTAATTAAAGCTAATTTAATTTCACCCATAAATCCCAACAATACTTATCCCATGTTGTATAAATGATAAAAAGGAGAATATTTATGACAATACGTTACAAATATGGCGAAATAATTGAGAAAATACAAAGTTATAGATAAAACCCAATTCTTGAAGCTTAGCCTTGACTTTTTCAAATATTTCTCCACCTTCCTTGGATGTATTCTCCTTGTGCTCTTGGTTTTATTCCAAAAAATTACAAGTAAATCAAAAGAAAAAGGAAAGGAAAAAAAAAGGAAAAGAGAAAGAAGAAAATAAAAAAGGAAGAAGAATGCTCAAGAATTGGCTGAAAATGGCTTATGAAAGCCCCAGAATCATATCCCGAAAATTGCCCAAAAAGCCCCTGAATTTTGGTAAAAAAAGAAAAAAGAAAAAGGGCCCTAGTTGGGAAGCGGCACGTGCACCATAATAAACCTTCTCGCATAGGGGCTTTCTTCATTTTCTTTGATCCAACTTAATCCTCCATATAATTGCACACCAGTCCCCTTAACTTTGGTCTTGTAAAATATGGTCCTCAAATTTTGTCTTTCATTTCAATCATGCCCTTAATAATGAAGTTTGACCCAACTAACACCTAGAGGAGGGTGAATATGTGCTTATGCGGAATTTAAATTTATCAATTAATAAATACAACAAGTCACGGTTATTATTCAATCCAGACAAATTCACATGTACACTATCCTATGTTGAATTACCGTAGTTTGATAAAATGCAGAAAAGTAAATAACATGGGAGAATTGTTGATGGAGAAAACCCCTTGCGGGATTAAAAACTCCGGACCCAAGCCAGTATGAATCCACTATAAATGAATTAACTTATAGTACTATCAGAATCAACTAATTTTATTACTTTCTGAGCTCCTGACTGTAGTTACCAACACCCTTCTAGATTGCGTGCTCCTGCACCAACTCTCGATCTTTTGAATTCGTCCGTCTCCTGTAGATCTCCAAGAACTACTTGTTCTCCAACAATCGGAAGTCCGATCACTTTTCTTGATCTTCAAAACTCTGACAAATTCAAAGCAAGTAAGTGTTTTTGTGTTTGTTTTGTGTGGCTTTGATGTTTTTCAAAAATCTTGGCTCAAGCAATTGAGGATTAAACAATTTATGTGAAGTGTAGGAAGAGATTTCTAGTTTATCTCAATGTTCAAGACATATTTTCTAAGAGAGGTGCAAGTATTTGTAGTTTTGAGATTTTAGGTATTATGGGCCAACTAAAAACCTTGAAAAATGCGAAATAGGATTTTTCGAATTTTTCGGGACGCACTATCACTCACCTCAACGACAAGCTAGCATAGCGTTTCGCTCGAGCGACAAGCAGGTGATAGGCTAGTGAAGAGCTTACTGTTTTGGATGCTCGAGCAACAGTTTCGCGGTAGGTTAACGAAAATTCGACAACTTTTCCTTTGTTCCATAAACGACCCTTATAGCTTTTAACTCATTAATATAACCTACAACTTGACTCTTTGACTATTATATATATACACACAATTATGTTTTTATTCATAGACTGTCGACAACTATAAAAACCTAACAACCACCTTTGATGTAGCGTAAATGTTTGCTCAAGATTATTTACAATGTTACACAGTACTTATGTGGTAAAAAAATTGACTAGAAAGTTCATTCATACCTAGGATAAAGCTGAAGCATGACAAAAATAAAAACTTTTCAATCAAACATTTCATCAACTTCTATGAAAATTTACTAACAATTTGATTTCAATCTAAATCAATAGAGTTTTAAGACAAAAAGAAATGTCCAACGAAAGTCAAAATATTGAGTCAGGTCAACACATAAATTAAGAAACAGATGCAAGTCTTTAGCTAGAGAAAAAGGCAATTCATGATAATAATATTGTAGTTCTTGAACTTATGCTCATTATTAACTAAACTTATTAACCTTATATAAGTATATTGCATTGCAAAACCCATCCACTAATCATCATTGTATAGATTATTTAGCCCCTTTAACTCTCGTTAAATTAAATTATTTGGCATTTTTCAACAAAGGCATTTGACTCAATTGGGGCCCATGTTTGCTGCCATTATTATAAGTTGTACGAGGTAGGAATAAAACAAATGCCAGTTGCATTGAACCCAGGGCCGGACGCAGACATTTTAGACTAGGGGGTCAGTAACGAACTTTTAAAAAAGTGATGAAAAAATTAAGATAATATATATCTTATTACAATTGCTCTCTACGTGTTCTCATACTTTGATAACGTTCAATAATTACATCATTTTCAATCTTATCAAAAACATCTTTCTCAATATATGCAATCAAACTATCATTCAACCATTGATCTCCAATTCGATTGCGCAGATGATTTTTGACGCAAGTCATCGCAGAAAATGCTCTCTCGATTGTAGCAGTAGCTATGGGAAGAACTAAGGCTAGTGTCACAAGTTTGTAGACTAATGGATACACTTCATGTTTATTCTTCACAACCAACTTCTGTGCAAGATTTCTAATGCCTTGTAATTCTTCAAAGTCTTCAGAAGTGCGCATATCAATAATATACGTATCTAGTTGATCATCAAGTTCTAGGATATCTGCTGCATCAAAATCTACTGGATAATATTGACATAGTCGAATCGATTTGATCTTGTCAAAAGCAGCAAATGAATTATTTGGAGATAAATATGCAACACAAATAAGCAAGTCACTATTTGCTTCAGGAAAACGATCATTCAACTCTTGAAGTTGCATATCAATGACAGCATAAAACATTTCCACACGAAAACGATGCAAATTTGTCACCGTCTCACGCCGTGAACGACCTACAGTTACGAACATATCATCCATATCGGGAACATTGATCTTGTGAGTTTCACAAAACGAACAAATCACTCCCAAAAAAGAATCTCACCCATCATCTCTCATGGTTTGGAGTTGTGTTTTACATATTTGCACCAATTTCATAGCATTGACAATATCTTAATCTTTTCTTTGTAATGCTTTTGACAATTCGTTTGAAATCTCTAAAATCTTTTTCATGAGATATAGATTAAATGCAAATTCAAATCTTAACATCAACTCCAATGAAATGCATGCATCACCTCTTGTTCCGGTATTTGTAGAATCAGTAGCAATCATCTCAATGACTTCGACTATAGTTGAAAACATGGTAATCAAGTTAATTAAACAACTATAGTGAGAGCCCGCTGAAGAGTAATTTCTTGATTGAGACATCGTCCGCTTGATATTTCAACAATGCTGAATGATTCAAGAATTTTCAATCTTTGATTCTATCGAATAAGATCACTCCGTTTAGCTGATCCTCCAACAATATTCACCAATCTATGTACTGTAGTGAAGAAAGTTTCAATCTTCGGATGTTTCTGTGCCACGGCTACAAGAGCTAATTGAAGTTGATGAGCAAAGCAATGAATATAGTAAGCACTTGGATTTTCTTTCAAAATAAGTGCTTTGAGGCCATTATACTCACCTCGCATGTTACTAGCTCCATCATATCCCTGGCCTCTCAAATTAGATATGCTTAAACTATGCGTTGAGAATAATTGATCAATTGCAGCCTTAAGTGAGGCAGCTGTGGTATTCAAAACATGAATGACACCAATAAAATGTTCCAATATACACCCATTCTTCACATAACGAATGACAACTGACATTTGCTCTTTCACAGAAATGTCTTGAGATTCATCAACTAAAATTGAGAAGAAACTATCATGAATATTTTCGATAATCACATGTAGACATTCAGAAGCAATAGCACTTACAATATCTTTTTGCACTCTTGGTGATGTTAATTTCAAATTTTCAGGTGCATTTGTCAAAGCAACGGCCTTAATCTCAGGATTATGATCACACAACCAATGCAATAGTTCAAGAAAGTTTCCTTGATTGTTTGAATCTTCGGATTCATCATGTCCACGAAATGCCATCCCTTGTCGTAGAAGAAATCGAACACAATCAATTGAAGCATTTAATCGGATTCGATAATTTGTTCGAGCTTGATGCGATTGTTTAACGAGATGAGATCGAATACTTTGTTCTTGATTGTTGAACAATTCATATTTGACCCGAGCTTGATTGTGTGCACTACTTGAAGCCCCAACGTGTTTTCCTATATATTCTTTCTTTTTCCAATTTGAAAATCTGCCTTTAACAAATGAACCATCATTCAAACCGAAAAGACAACAATAAAACCAAAACACTGCATCCTTTGCTATACTGTATTCCAACCAAGTGGGATGCTCATTATACCACGAAACACAAAATCGTCGATCTACTTTACCTATTTTTGTGGGTGGAAATATATGATTGCGAGGTTGACAAGGACCTCTTTGCATATATGCTCTTCGAATCGCATCTCGAATATTAACATCATAATTCTGTATTGGAACTCTCAATCCAGGATCAGAGGGAAGCTGTGCAACATCAACATCCCCAACATCTCCAACATTTCCTCCACTATCCCCAACATCTCCAATATCCTCAACATTTCCAATGTCTCCAATACCCCCAAATCCAACATCAACATCTCCAACGTCTCCAATACCCCCAACATCTCCAACATCAACATCAACATCAACATCCCCAACATCGTTTTCATCCCTTTTCTTTCGAACATTCCTTTCGCCGATATTTTGTTCATCACAGGAAATCGTAGATGTATATTTAATGTATTTTTCCATAATTGAATCAAACCAACCAAAAATGAAAAATCAACAAGATTAGAAATGCCTAAATTAGTTTATACTATTTCCTACCTACCAAAAGTCAGACAAAATTTCAATCTTCCCAAATCAATATTATTAATAATCAATTTACATATAAATAAGTAACAAAGCCCTAAATCAGAAAAGGGTCAATTTCCTAAATCAAAGCCCTAAATCAGAAATCCCTAAATTACATTTATTGGGCAGGAACATGAATCATAATTGATTAATTGAACTGTAAATAAATCCAAATTTAAAAATAGGAACTAACCACACATAGAGGCAGGCAGGCAGCAGAGCAATTAACTTACGGTTATTTGTCACTTATGGAGAAGAATTCACAGAAAAAATTTGAGTAAGTGATAAGTCTGTAAGTGTAAAGCTTCTAACCTTCAAGTCAGTAGAACTGAAGTCCGCCCCTGACTGATTGCCGGAGAGATTGACGGGTCGCCGGCACTGGCGTCGGCTGTTGCTGTTGCAGTCGCAGTCGCATGGAGGCCGGAGGCGTTCCAGGTGGAGGCAGAAACAGAGGCGGGGGCAAAGCAGTGGCCGGTGGCTATGGGTGAGCTCTCACTGCTCTGTGCTGTGCTTCAATGGTGGGAGACTGGGAGTGGGAGTCAGCGCCGTTTGTGCGAGAGACTGGAGTTGAGAGAGAGATATACGGTTGAAGCAGTCAAGCAGGGAAGGAATTGTTTGAGTTTTGACTATTTTGATTTTTGACCTACTAATTTATTTATTTAAAAAAAAACCTTAAAACTAGGGGTCAATTGACCCTACATGCCCCCCAGATCCGCCAGTGATTGAACCGGACTAAAATACCCCCAATTTATTCATGGGAATAGCATATTATCCCTCATTCAAAAGACCTTTTCTTCTTCATCAATTGTTCACGCCTTGCAGACCATTTTTTATTCATAAAATTGCCCCCCTCACCGACAGCAGAAGATGGACCGCATTTTGGTAAAATCGACGATACCCACTTTGCTACAGCGACATAAGACATCCATATGTTCTCAAGTTGAGCCCGATCCGCGCTTGAGATCGATCGACAGCCCCCATAAATTTACTTATCGACAGATTCATTGTACAGTCTTCTCCACCCAACTGTGAGGTTTACATGGCATGGACAACGGCGGCTCACACTGGGTCTATCATCCACAAACCATGGTAATCTTCTGACTGATTCATCTTTATTTTAGCACACAATAAATCACATTTTTTACATCTATGTTCTTGACCGACTACTTTTGGCTTTCTCAAAGCTACACGACCCAGGTAACTGACTCGGTGTCCATTGCTTCTCCGACTTGACGCACATGCACGAAGCCAGAGACTCGCAAGTGTGCAAAGTGGGACCCCAAGGAACACTGTATTTTTATCTCCGCATGTGAGCACGTCACTTTTGAGGGACATCGTTGAGGACAGTGTTTCTTGACTATGGGTTGGAATCACATTCGTGATTTGTTCAGCAAAACATCGGGAAAGGATTGGACAATAGAAAAATTTACCACACCTACAGCAAACTCTTTGGTGACAACAATGACTCCACAAAGTACGCTCTTACACCTACAAAACTTTCATAACGTGGTCTGGATTTGAGCTCCGACATCGATGCGGATGATCCTAACGATAGGCTGCCGGTCAATGCCGAGCTAATGGACTCTAGTGATGGGCCTGTAGAGGGCAGAGCAAACTCGTTGATGAATATTTCCCTCGGGCGAAGTGGGGAGAAGTGTAAAGGTAAGCAAACAAACGGGACGGGAAAGGAGGAGTTCGGGGCTAGGAAAGTTTCAGAGTATGTTGACAACTTGGCGACTGCTTCAAAGGAATTCGCCTCGGTGCTTCATTCCAAAGACAAGGGTGTAATGACCATTTTGAAATGTGTGTTCTTACTTTCCACGAGCCTCGTCGTGAGTGGTGACGAGATCCATTTGTTTGCTCTATGGTTTTTTAGGGACAACGACAATTGAATGGCATATAGTGTCGTCGTGACTTAGGGTTGTGTGGATTGAGTATTGCTTCAAACGCGACAAGGAAGCAAACGAAGCAAAGTCGTCCTGGGCGCGATGCAAACTAAAGTTTCAGCTGCAATTAACCATGTTATATTTATTGTTTTTTCATGCTGTTTGCAATCGTAGGTGTTGCGGTTGTTCAAACATTTTTATTTCCCGTTTGTTGAGCATGTATGGAATTATTATACTTGGATGAGAACATATGTCTTAGTCAAAAAGTTCAATGTGTATGTTGCAAGTATGCAGCTTTATTGTTACATCTTTGAAAAAAGAATGATGACAGAATATATTTACTGCACAAGGCAGAGAATATATTCCAATTTCACTAGCCTTGTCCTATGAAAACATGAGGGCATGCAAATGTGAGAAGTGGGTATATGCAATGTACGTTCACAATATTTTTTATTTTTATTTTTTTTATATCCAGATATTTCAGCTTATACTAGACTAAATCCTAGACCCCCAAGACCCTTGTCCTAGAACTTTGGAGGGAGTAAATTACGGGTTATGCTTCAACTCACAGGTTCCCCTCATTGCCTGTACACTTCTGCGCACAATATTGGTATGTCTGTAAAAGGTTTCAACCATTTCCACAAACGGATTGTAGATGGCAGGAGGCGTGTAGCAAACAAGTAGTATACTTGCGTAGAGTGAAGGTAAAAAATCTCCTTGCGTTTAAACGATATGTGTTCATGTCCCTTTAAATTATTATGTATTTTATTTTTTGCTTACTTGGTGTGATTGTGCTTTATTCACGTAGATGAGCGATGAGTCCAATGCAAATGCATCCTCCGATATAGACTGCAGCCTCATTTCCATGCCTAGTTTGAGCGAAGGTTCGGAGGATGAGGTACTGGAACAGATGGAGGACGACATTGTTGCATGGCTAGAATATTGTCGGAGCGCAGAACACATGGTTCGCGATTACCTTTCACCTAACAGAGCCAATAGATTCTTATTTTCTACAACATGCAGCAGTCATATTTTCATGCTACAAAATATGCACATGTACCCATAGACTTGTTTTCAAGAGTTTCGAATGTATCCCCCTATGTTCAGGCTTTTCACACGTACTCTTTGAGACCAGTACGGTTTGGTTAGTAGTACAAACATCGATACATATGAATAAGTTGGTATGTTCCTCTGCATTTTAGCACACAGGAAAGGTTATTGCCAAGTACAAACGCTGTTTGGGTATTCCCTGCAGACCATTTCACATCACTTTAAGCGCGATCTGCAAGTCGTGGTTGCTCTTGCTACTGATATGGTTAAATCGCATCATGACTACAATGACGGTGCCCCGTCGCACCGTCCGAATGCTGCACAGTATCCACTGTTTCAGGAAAAGATATCCATACCACTTCCACTTCATTTTGTAATTGGATGTTGTTTAGTAATTGGTTAGACGTAAAGGCTAACACGCGATCCTGTATCAGGATTGTATTGGGGTGATCGATGGAATGCATGTTCATGTTGTCCTTCCGCGACAGAGAATGACGGACTTCATTGGAAGGAAAAGATTTTCAACGCAAAATGTGTTGGCATCGTGTGATTTCAATTTGTGTCTTACATTTGTCGCCCTGTACTACGGGGAATACGCACAACAATCACATTTTGGCGCGATGTATCCATAGTTCGGATGTAAACTTCCCGAAACCAAGACTCGGGGAATACTACTTAGTTGACTAGGGTTTTGCATATCGGCCAGGTTACATGGCATCGTACAAGAGATCTGATGTACAGTATCACTTCCAAAAATTTTGGAACGGCAATGGTGGTCAACAGCGTTTTTGAAATGCACGGGAGCGGTTCAATTTTCATCACTCATCTTGCTGTAATGTTATTGAGTGGGCATTTGACTTTTGGAAGTAGAGATGAAAAATTCTCAATTGAATACCTAGCTATTCGTTCAGAGCGCAAATGTTTGTGGTTGTGGCAACAATGGGTGTTTACAATTTCTTGAGATGACACGAATGACTCGATGATGGCTTTCACAGAGCAGAAGAAATGGACGACGATGAAATTGAGGTCGATCTTCCAGACGTGAATGACGAAATTGCGGCAAAAAATGATGCAATTGGGGATGAGGATATACCGTGGCAACATCTTCGTGATCATATGGCTCAAGCACTTTCTTAATTGTTAGAAATAATATTTTCATAAAATTTGCTTAATCCATTTTGTAATCGGACAACGTGCATCGCCTACTGTAGTAATTGTGAGACAATGTGCAAAGATATGAATTATTTCGCGTGCGCCTGGAAGCATGTAACAGGAGTGTGAAATAGGGATCCCATTTATATGATGATTGTAGGGGTAGAATTGTCTTTAAGTTCTCATTTGATTGTTATTGGGTCCACTGTATGTCTTCTGATCAACATTAATGGTACATGTCCTGCTACTTCAGTCTGACGCATGTGGCCCTCATTGGTTTGAAAAAATTTGGCAAATAATGAAATTTAATGCACGTTAACGGAGGCCAAACAGACAGTTAAGTATAGATACGATACAAATTATATATATTTTCTCCATTCCGGCATTTACTCTCTATTTGAGTAGTTTTGCCAACTCAAATTAGAGGAAAAGGCTCTATTAAACATGACAAAATTTGATCTCTTGTGTCTCCATCTTGAACACTGAATTCGTCTCCATTCTACATCAATCAGGCTTTAGGACAAAAAGAAATCTCCAACGAAAGTCAAAATAATGAGTCAGGTCAACTCATAAATTAAGAAAGCAGATGCAAGCCTTTAACAAGAGAAAAAGGCAATTCATAATAATAATAATATTATAGTTCTTGAACTTATGCCCGTTATTAACTAAACTTATTAACTTTATATAAGTACATCGGATTGCCAAAACCCATCCACTAATCATCATTGTATAGATTATTTAAGTATAGATACGGTACACATTATATATATTTTCTCCATTCGGGCATTTAGTCTCTGTTTGAGCAGTTTTGTCAACTCAAATTAAAGGAAAAGGCTCTATTAAACAGGACAAAACTTGATCTCTTGTGTCTCCATCTTGAACACTGAATCCGTCTCCATTCTGATAAATGAAATTAGCGACTCGCGCTATGTTTATAATATACTTAACAAGTGTTTGTAGCAAATTAGGAGAGCCATTTATGCATAGACCATTGATTTTCTTCCATAAATTGGAAATGATGTTTCTGATATGGTCTCTAGCTTCCTGTTCTGTAACATTTGCTTCTCTCATGTAACATAGGATTGATGAAGGTGCATCACCTCTCTCCAGTTCGGCCTATTAAATAAAAATCAAAATATCATTCATTACACTTTTAACAAAATAATCGCAATTCAACAATAAAATTACTTATCCGGTCAAGTTGAAAGAATGATTACAGTTGAAGTTCCTTGATCATTGCAGAGACGTATTATCAACGAGGAGTAGTAGATAATTTCTTGATTGTTCTCAAGGATGTCAATGGTTTCGGTTATATCTTGACCTACACCGAAGAGTACAACAAGAGAAAGCAGAGGCCCAGATGATGATATCCAACCATTATCAAGATACTCCCAAAGACGTGGGGTATAACCTGTGTGGTACCACTTTGCTTCCACATGCAATGCTTGACAGAAATCTGCCCACTGATGACAAATGTAAATCTGATTAGGCAATCGTGTTAATCAAATGATAATGAATAGTACTGAAGACTTACATATGTTACAATATTATAAGAATAATAAATAGCTAGGTACCCCTTTCTTTAAATATGATAACACTGAATTCCAGCCCTTTTCTTGTTGAATTTGCAGATCCATATCATTGGTTGTATCATACAGTGCAAAGAAGCATCTCCTTATGGCTTCTGGCAGCTGCTTAATTTCTGTGTGATTCCACCTGAAATGAGGACGTGGTCACGCGAATCACTATAAATATGTGTGTTATGCTCTTTTTTGTTTACCATTGTTTTTAGAAGAATTAGAGTAATCTAAAATAACATTACCTATTAACAGCATGGGTAAAGCACTCCAATTCTTCCATCGAACCATAAATATCGTAGACATCATCGATTATCAAGATGAACATGATGACTTTAGTCAACCATTTTCGAAGGCTTCCATGCTGAGGCTCAGAAACAACTCCCACTGCCCACAAAAAACTTTCAACTACTCGATCTCTTGTGAAAATTAAAGTTTCTGAAAGACCAAGATTTCTCCACCACCTAACAAAAATTACAAAGGGGTAAGTTTCAAAATATTTGTCAATTGAAATTGAAGTATTACATGTGGGTTGAGTAAAGTCTAAAATGGCGTTATCTAAAAGTTCTCTAACATATCCATTTATTCATCACAAGAGGTGTCCCTTTTGAAGCCAAAGTTCATTTTCCTTGATATTTAACATAATACGTGAAATGACCCTATACTTTGGCAACTCCCATCATTTGAAATGGGTTTAGTGTCAAATTATTAAATCCTTGGAAAAAAGAAAAAAAAGAATGAATCGAAGTTCAAATGTTACACCAATGAAACACGATACCGACTTATCCCTCCAATATAGCCGATCCACCTAATTTTCATATTAGGCATCCTAATATTCGTATGATCACTACTCTAATTTCATCTTTCTTATTCAAAGTGAGGTGGACTTAACTTTGACATCGAGAGATATCATTATAAATCTATGTCTAGTAATTGAGATCACGACTGAGTCTGTATAATAGGACAAAGCCATTTTCTCTTGCTTACTATGGTCCTCATTTCGAATAAGCAAAAAAAAAAAAAAAAAAAAAAAAAAAAAAAAAAAAAAAGAAAGGAAAAAGCTTTAATGACCACCTATAAGTTTGAAGCAGAAATTTGACTAAAGATTTTACCTTACAATCTCCTTGAGATCCTTTTGCTGTTGGGCTTGAGCAATGTTGAAGTTAAGCTTACCCAGCTGAAGCAACATAGACCTAGTCTTGTTCTCTTTCTCCAGTACGTGGATATGTTTCTTGACATTAAACCATTCGACACTCAAATGCAACGGACAAACCAATGAAAATATTTCATGATTTGCTCTCAAATTCTCCATGGCAAAAACATGGGCTGTATCCAACAAGCATTCACTTTCCATGCCAAGATAAGAGGCTTCCAAAAGTTGAAGAATTGGTTTAGCATCCAAGTGTGCACTTGTCTTGAATTCTCCCACATCATCAGTGAAGCAAAGGAACACGTCTGAGTTTCACATAATATTCCCAAGTTAGAGAGCATATTATTCGAGGAATTTAAGGTTTCATCTTTTTGCCAATTAAAAAATAACATATTTATTAACTCATGGAGGTTTGTGGAATATATGTAGCAACTAGTATTTAGATAAAAATTAGATTTTTAGTGAATTTTTATAGAAGTAGATGATACGTGTATTTGAAAAATCATGGTTCTCAAGAAATGTGTAATAAAAATTAATTATTAACTTTAACTTAAATTTTAATAAGCTTTTCAGTTAAACCAAACCGGGGATTAAAGTAACCAATCAAAACATATGGAAGTCTCCTTTCACCAGTCACTATTCACAATTCCACATGCATGCACATAGTTCTCTTCCTTAATGATTCGCTTTCTACTTGATGCAAAACGAAATAAAATAAAATAGAATTATTATTGAAACTTCCAATTTTGCCCGCTGACTTGTTTTGTTTGTGAACTCTTGTGTGGATGGGGATTATGTTCAAGTTCAACCACGTCTTAGAAAAGGGACATACTAATGTTTTTGATTCATATCTTCAACATCCTACGTCATGTGCATGAATTCGGATTCAATTTTTTTATCAGTAGCTCTGCACAGAAAATTTGGCGTGACTTTAACTCGAGATCTGTTTTCTATAAATTTATATTGAACTCCTTTACACAAAATCCTAAGCTAGACTATTAGAAAATTGACAAACATATTTATGATCTAAAAAACGTCGTTGTTACTAGTGACTTTCAAGAGAAGAATTCCCACCTTGTGAAATCTCATATCCATACTGCCTAAGAATTCTGAAGCATAATGCAGTGTGGTAGAGGTTCTCTTTCATGCAGAAAACAAAGTTGTTCATATTCACCATATTGTTTAGGTTTTCAGAGATATCTTTTTCAAAGTAGTGAGAAAGAGCTAACTTGCTAATGCAATCTATAAGCTCTAACTTAGCCACTGGATCGTTCATTTGACCGAATATGCACGAAACTTCCCTTTTCAATGATTCCACTTGTCTTCTGTATTCCTCTTCCTGTAAAGGACCCAAAAATTAGCACAATCAACTACAACAAGTACAATTCCACTTCACTTAAATATGCAAAATATATTTGGGCTACTCCAGAGTCTGCATTAAATTTATTTGTGTTGTTTACTAAAGAAAAAAGAACAGAATTAACAGAAAATCTCACATCATATTTGTTTGTTAGAGTCTGTAGGTGACAGTAATTCCAGATGTTTGGCTTATAATTAGCAGTTCGCCTTTCCACGGACTCTATCTTCATTCGGTTGTTCAAAGATTGTTGATCACCCGCTATTTTCATTGTGGAATTCTGATACTAATAAATAACAGAAATAAGTAGTTTTGAAGATGCCTTTACATGGAGTTTATATTGCTTATATATAGCGAAAAGAGCAACAGAAATGGACGATAATTTCGGCAAGTGATGGTGACAAATCATTAAGATTGTCTGTAATTTGTGGACTATTGATTTGCACTCTATTGATAGTGTTTTCCTTTTTTGTGAATGAATGTCGTCATCTTGCGTTCAAATCTATTAATTTGTTGATGTCATGAAATTAAAGAAGAATCTCACTCATCTTTTGGAGATTGAGTTCTGATTGAAAAGAGTATTGGTAGCAATGCATTCGTTACCAACACTGTATTTTTTTGGGCAGTGCCCAATGACAGGATGCCACCTGTCAAGTTGTATGTACAATTTTATTGTACATAAAGCAAAATACTTGAAAAGTTACCATATTCACCCACCAATCAATGATCGGGCCCATACAGTAAAACTTTAACCTGTCAATATAATACTCACCCAAGGACAGATCTTTGAATAGTTCTTTTGTAAATCGGCATAATTACAAGAGTGAATCCATTCTAATTTTAATAACTATAGAAGTTAGCGTTTGGTGCAACAATTGAAAATAAGAGGAATGTAAAATTCAATTCTAATGGTTAAGTTAGTCCACCAAAGATTCACTAGTTTTTGGCGATAGTCACCATGGGATGTTACACATTTATGTATGCTAAGTTATGTCAATCATCAAAATATTCTAGATTTTTAGTGGAAGTCATGCAGAAAATTGTAATTTTGCCTGGATTAATTGTTACGCTGTATTGCATGTTGTAGCATAAGTCCTTGACTTCTGGAGGGCATTGCCTTCATTTACGTCCTGGATGCATCTCCCTCAATTAAGGTACCAATTTAACCAGTTGGTATAGCCTAAACCCAAATTTTTACACTTGGTTGTAGGTGTCTTATTGTACTACTTATTTTAGCATACATGGTTATCTTGATATGATTAATAATTATGTGATTTGTAGCTAAATTCGGAGACTTCAGCTTATATTACTTGACCTCATCGTAGATGTAGATTTACAGTTATCAAATCGAACAACTTGTTCAAGTAAACCAGCCGAGCTTAATTTTGATCAAATTCGGAGTGTTCCAATAGTGATCTTTTGGTTAAGTTTTTAAGTACTTATAAGCAATGAATCCTTAAAAATATATTATTATAAAGTTTTAAATCCCAAAAAAATGTATTATTATAAATGACATTTGATAAGCTTTCCAAGTACTTCAAAGCTTTACCGCCCACACACATGCCTTTTCAGTCCTATTCAATTTCATAAATAGTATGACCCGAAGAGAAAAGTCATGCATGTGTTCCACGCAAAGCGTAATGTGAAAAACGTATTGCACGCTTAACTACAGGTTTAACACATGAAAGAATTTTTATTGAAAAGAAAATGACAATCTGATATTTATTTGTAGAAGTCAAATCTTGAGATTTTTTTTCTTGTACGAATGGTGGAGGAAGGTTCTTATCTTATATTTAACGCGTCCAAAATTTCTTTTTCCATTTTTTTAATTAAACGACTTTATTAAGTCGTATCTTTTACCTTAGATAAAAATAAAACATATCGCAATAAAATTAAATGTAAAATTTTCCGTCTAAACACAGGCGTATACTGAAAAGTTAAAGATCTACATTTCACGCATCCTAGTTATACTTGTCGTCACCGCCACATGCAGATTGTCATGGCTCTCTTGTCTTAATCACTTTCAAACTCGTTACTAGAAGGAAAGTAATTATAAAGCTCATAGCATCCATGTAATCTTCATAAATAATTTATCTAACGCCTCCTGAAATATTCCCTTATCCTTGAGTAGTAAAGTTGTACCTCCACTCTGAAATCATTTGCAACCGCTGCCTTTGGTTGTGGTGGTAGAGTAATCTCTTTATCAGCACCACAAATTTTTATATCCAATCCTATGCTGTTCAGATTATTTTAAAGTAATTTCCGGACTCATGCTGGAAGGCCCTACTGCTACATATATTGGTGTACACATTGCTGCTATATAGCAAAAACATTTTTAAGATATTAGATATATAAGATTATGTTGCTGATGTTCTTTTCTACTATTTCTAACTAAAAAAGGTTAAACCCTAACCTTAAGGGTCCCCTACCACCCCTGCCTTGGAGTATCGTGAGGGAGGTAAATCGCAGATTATACCTCCAAGGGTACAGGATAGAAGGCTGCTTGTACACTTGCACTTACCCAAGAGCCAAATTCATATTTCAGGATTCGAACCCTTGACGCAGCAGTCTCAAACAAAGTTGGATTTCTCCACCCTCCCATTTTACCACTTGGAGATGTGCCCTGGGGGCGACACTTAAGTATACATACGATACAAATTATATATAGAGCCTGTTTTAGCTACATTATTCTTGGTAGCGTGTGGCTACCCGTGTAATGTTCCTTTTCATGCATTTGTTCAGTGTCAAAGGCCATTTAATTTGGTCGGACCAGTTCTGTCCTTCAACGAGTGGCTAATAATCTAACAAGATTGTAAATTTCACTTCTTTTTTCCACAAAGGAAAATTCGAAGCGAACACGGCTGTTCGTGGTCCCCTATGATAGGTTGGATGGAGAAATTTGGCCCTCCAGTGGCCCCGGTGATGTAGCACTTCTCATTGTCGATAATATTAAATTGGCTTTAATTCTATATGGTCAATAGTCAACGAGAACCAAAGGACGATAATATTAAATTGGCTTTATTTCTATATGGTCAATAGTCATCGAGAACCAAATGACAATAAGATTGGAGAAGTGTCATTGAAATATTCTTCTCTTTTTTCGATAACATTATGTGGCTTGCATACATTAAATCATCCTAATATTTCATTTTTATATAAAAAAAAATATTTTAACGAGATTTTTTTAATTAGAGAATATTAACACACAAGTTCTTAAACATATTACAATCCTCTTATAGTGAAACCCTAAAATGAAATGTAGACATAATTATTACATTAGGGGTACTAAAACACTCTAAATCCCCGTTTGGATTCCATTCTCTTTCATTTTTTTCTCTATCTTATTTTTAACCAAACAATCTTTCATAAAATAATATTACATTAAATCAAAAATTTTTATTCTTTTTAAACCATACATTCTTCAAAAAAGTACTAGTCCAAACATTAAAATTTGGAAAAAAATTGAGGCCCAAACGGGGGATAAAGAGTGTAATTTTACATTTTTTTTGTTCTTACGCTGTGCGTTATTTGATCTATAAAAAATAGTTCATAGATGATAATATTTGGGGGGGGGGGGGGGGGGGGGGGGGGGATT